ACAAATGCAGACAGGAGAGATGCTTTCTTCACCTGGGAGTGCCCAGATGGAGCCACCACCCTGTCCCTGCCCAGAACCCACGGCCGCCCTGTCCTCTACCCCAGAGCCCTGCGGTTGCTCCCAGCGGGAGCCGGGGGCCCCCCAGCTCTGTTCTGTCCCCCAGTCCCGTGAAGCCTCAGAAAGCGCCAGATCATCAAGCCCCCCCCCGACACACACACACACAAAATCCTCGCCCAGTGCGTGCCCTGAGCCGCCCCACCCTCTGCAGCGGCACCAGCCTCAGGTCCCGCCTCTTACCTGCTTCTCCACGGAAGTCATGAGAGGGCAGAGCAAGGCCATGCAAGGACACCGGGGACCGGGGAAACGAATGGCAGGCTCCGGGTGCCCTGGGCTCTGGTGGGCCTGCCCCTGGCATCCATCCACCCAGCGTCACCGGCTGGAGGGGATGCAGGAAAGCCCCTCATGAAAATATGGGGGGTGGAGCAAAGAGAAAAAAGAGGATGAGAGAAAGAAGAAACAGGCAGGGAGGGAAATAAGAAATGAAAGGACGCAACCTTGCACCAAGAAAAGGATACTTTCTTGACCTGGGTGCTGAGACACCATTGCACTCACTTAGTGAAAATTCACAGAACAATACACTTACGACTTGTGCCATTTAGTTGTAATTCAATAAAAAGTTCACAGCATTTCAAAACACCTAGGTCTCAGGAGACTTCCTGGGGCGGAGGGGGGTAGATGTGCTCCTGCGGGTGACATATGTGCCTGTCTGCGTGTGTATGCAGGTGTGCGTGGGCATGTGTGGGCACGTGGATGCATGTGTGAGTGACCGTGTGCGGGCAGCACGTGTGCCCCTGTCGCTCTGGGAGCCGCCACGTCGCAGCGCGCGGCATGGCAGGGGGACCCGAGTCTGAGGCCCACTGAGCCCCGGGAGGGCAGGGCCCAGGGAAAGCGGCCGGGTGGGTGGAGAGGGACCCCCGGGACCCCCCAGTGCCCGGCGCGCCCAGTGCACCCGGAGTCTCGGGGTCAGGGTCGGGGGACCCCACGGCAGGGCGGGGTCCTCCGGGGGCGCTCCTACGGGCGGACCCGGGGTCTACCGGGCAGGGGACAGGCAAGCCCTCGAGAAACCGGGCCTGGGGGGCTCGGAGCAGCCTCCTACTCCGGCCCTGACCCCGCGAACTGTCGCTCCTCCCGCGGGGCGATCCCTGGGGTCGCGGCCGGGACTCGGGAGTCTACAGGGGTCATTAAGACGAGTCCGGGGTCGCCGCCGGTCCTCAAAGGTCAGCGGACTTAGACTGGGGGTCGCGGTCGGGACTCGGGAATCACCGGGACGACCCCAAGGGTCTGAGGGTCCGATGCCGGGGCCGGGGCAGGATGAACATCGGGCGCCGGACTTAGCGATCCCTGACCTTCCCCTTGCGAAACCGCCGTCTATCGCGTACCCCTGGCCCGGCGTGACCTTCATAAGGTCAAGGAGGCCGCCGCGCCCCCCAGCCCGCAAGGCGCATGGGCGGGGCCCGGCTCCCTACATGCCCCGGGCGCGGCAAGCGGGAAGGGGAGGGACGTCGGCGGCGGCGCAGCCAATGGGCGCGGCGCTCGAGGGCGAGGGGCGGGGCGCAGAGCTGCTCCCGGCAGCCCGTGGGGGGGCGAGACGAGCGGGAAGGGGCGGGGCTTGTGCGGTGGCGCAGCCAATGGGCTTGGCGCGCGGGGGAGCGGGGCGGGGCGTGGGCGCCTTAGCGGCTGCGCGCTGGCTACCCCGTCTTTTCGGTCCCGGCGGCGGCAGCGGAGACCAGCGGTGCCCACACTCCGGCTCTCCGCGCCTCCCCTCCACTCTCTTCCTGCTGCGTTGCCCGCCTCGCCACCATGACGGAACAGGCCATCTCATTCGCCAAGGACTTCCTGGCCGGAGGCATCGCCGCCGCCATCTCCAAGACGGCCGTGGCCCCGATCGAGCGGGTCAAGCTGCTGCTACAGGTGGGAGCCGGCTACGCACACGCAGACGCCGGGCGAGGTGCGAGAGTCCGGGGCGCGGGGACAGCGGGCCGGGCAGGCCGCGTGCACCGGAAGCGGGAGGCTGCGCCGCTTTGTCCGCGCGCCGCCGGCTTCCGGGGGTTGCCCGGGCGCGCGTCACGTGGGCGCTATCGCCTGCGCAGAAATGGGGCCGCGGGCGCGCACGCGCGTGTGCACTGGGCCTTGTGGCACAGTTAGGGGAACGCATGCGCATGGAGCAGCCGCGTGGAAGGGCCCCGCGGGGCGAGGGCCGTGACCTTGGGCGGGTCACGAGGGCAGTCGTCGTGTCCTTCGTTGGACTTACGTTCTTTTCCCCTTTTTATTTCCCTTTTGCGGTTCTGAGTCAGAATAAGCTGTCTTTGTTGCGGGACTGTTAGAAATGTAGCGCTAATGCAAACATCGTTGCTAGTTTGTTACACTTGTAGGGGCCAATAGTGACCAAAAGATGGTTTTTTTCTGGTAGGACGTTTGGCCAGCTTAAAGGCCCCATGCACATGTTATCTTACGAAGACAGCACTTTTCGTTGGGGGTTCTTGGGGGCGTCTGACTTAGGCCCTCGTGTAAAACTCCTGTCTCTCTGCCCCCAGGTACAGCACGCCAGCAAGCAGATCGCGGCCGACAAACAGTACAAGGGTATCGTGGACTGCATCGTGCGCATCCCCAAGGAGCAGGGTGTGCTGTCCTTCTGGAGGGGCAACCTGGCCAATGTCATCCGCTACTTCCCCACGCAAGCCCTCAACTTCGCCTTTAAGGATAAGTATAAGCAGATCTTCCTGGGGGGCGTGGACAAGCACACGCAGTTCTGGAAGTACTTCGCCGGCAACCTGGCCTCCGGCGGGGCGGCCGGAGCCACCTCCCTCTGCTTCGTCTACCCCCTGGATTTCGCCAGAACCCGGCTGGCGGCTGACGTCGGCAAATCCGGCACGGAGCGGGAGTTCAAAGGCCTGGGAGACTGTCTGGTGAAGATTACCAAGTCTGACGGCATCCGGGGGCTGTACCAGGGCTTCAACGTCTCTGTGCAGGGCATCATCATCTACCGGGCCGCGTACTTCGGCGTGTATGACACCGCCAAAGGTGAGTGCGCTCTGCTCTCGGGGCTGACTGGACAGGTGCTGGGCGGGGGGCTTCAACAGCAGGTGTCTGTGGACTCCCAGTCCTGGAGGCTGGAATCTGAGATCCAGGTGTGGGCAGGGCGGTTCCTCCCGAGGCCTCTGTCCTGGGCGTGTAGATGGCTGTTTCCTCCCTGTGTCCTCACAGGGTTGTTCCTCTTTGTGTGTGTCCCAGTTTCTTTTTATAAGGACACCAGTCCTATGTGACCAGGACCCACCCTGATGACCTGATTTTTTTAACTTTATCTCTGTAAAAGCTTTTATTTCCTAGTACAGTTAACACTCCGAGGTCCTGGGGTTTGGGGCTTTAGTACATTTGTGGGGAGGAGACAGTTCACGCCCTGTAAAGTAAGTCACCCTGGAGGTCAGGGCCCAGGCCCGCTGGCACCTTTGCAGTGGAACGGGTGTTGAAACCTTCCACTTCCCAAGGCCCGCCTGTTTCCCTCTAGAGAGGCCCCTGCCGCCGGGTACTGGGTTGGTGTCTGGGGCCATCCTCCCAGCCTGCAGGTGGCTTCCCCATATCTGGCCGGTGTGCTGACCCCAGTGTGACCAGTCTAGTGTCACCTGGTGCTGGGATGCCCGCGTGGAGATCCCTGGGGCCTCACGCTCACGGTGACCCCGCAGGCATGCTCCCCGACCCTAAGAACACGCACATCGTGGTTAGCTGGATGATCGCGCAGACGGTGACGGCCGTGGCGGGCGTGGTCTCCTACCCCTTCGACACCGTACGGCGGAGAATGATGATGCAGTCGGGGCGAAAAGGAGGTACCGTCTCCGCTCTGCTCCGGGCCGCCCGTGCTCTGGGGGTGGGGCATCGCTGAGTGGCCTGGCGTTCGGCCCTTCGGAGGTGCACAGCCAGCACGTGAGGTGCTCCGTGCTGGGGGGGGGTGGGGGGGAGGTGCAGCATTTGGTCCCAGAGGGAAGTAGCTGGGCTTCGTGGGGGAGGCCTGGGCCGGGTGCTTGCCCCCTCTCTGCCCTTGATCCTCGGGTGTGCTGGGCCCTAGGGAGGCTGGGGCTCGAGTTTGTGTTCGATCCCCACCCAAACTGGGGGTGTCCAGAGCTTCCTTTTCCTGCGGTCGAAACGCCTAGCCACCCAGGTGGTGGCAGCTGGGGCCCCGCGTCGGCACCGTGTCTCTCCGGGGCCTGCTTCGCGCCTGTGTGATCCTCTCCGTGACCCCCGCCCTTTCCCCGCAGCCGACATCATGTACAGGGGCACCGTGGACTGCTGGCGAAAGATCTTCAAGGACGAGGGCGGCAGAGCCTTTTTTAAGGGCGCCTGGTCCAACGTGCTCCGCGGCATGGGCGGCGCCTTCGTGCTGGTCCTGTATGACGAGCTGAAGAAGGTCATCTAGGCGCCCTGCCCACTCGCCATAGCGACCAACACCTCCACATAGAGGAATACCTGTTACGGACCATCGACCTTCGAGAAATTCCAGTGTCTTCGCGGAGGGCTGGGGCGGCCCCTCAGAGGGCTCCTCGTGACCGTCGGCCCTGGGTCCATGTATTGATTACGGGGGGAGGGTAATCGTGACGTCTTCGTGGGTCCACAGGTGGTGAGGCACCTCTACCCGCCAGACCTAGATTCCAGGTGCTTGTAGGACCGACTTGTGTTTAAGTATTTATTTAAGAAAATCTTGTCTCCATTTGTACTTAAGCACTATTATCTTTTGCACAGCCGAATATTTAGTTATGTTCTATGTCGGGCGTTCTGCTGCGAAACAATAAAATTAGGACACACGGACGCTGGTTTTGTTTCTGAATCGAGCGGCCTCGTGGGGTGGGAGCAGGAAACAGCAGGGTCTCAGGCTGGGGAGGGGGAGGCCCTGGCTGCCCGTCTGTGGCCTGTCCTGTCACAGGGGCCGCCCTCGGATGCTGAGGGGAGCACGCAGATGCGGGGACCCTGGGGCTTCCTAACCTGAAGTTCCCTTCCTCCAGTACCCGCCCTTCCAGGCCTACCTGTCACTGGGGTTTAACCACAGAGGAGCCCCCCAGGGTGGTAGCAGCTGTGTGTCCCGTGGGCCACCCCTGCCCTGGGCTCACGGGGGAATCCCTTGCAAGGTGAGCACGTGCACCCTCTCAGGTGTGCCTGACCCCTAGCCCCAGGCAGGCAAGCATCCTTCCCCCACTTGGAGCCGTATCTGCAGGAAGCCTGATGTCTCCAGCACGGAGAGAACTTTGAGCGTCTCTCCCAGGCTGGCCCCAGGGTCCTGGTACGTCAACATGGGGGAATGGGGTGTATTCTGGGGCTTGCTCTGGGTGTTCTCAGGGTCCGGGACTGTGCCTGCGGGGTCATCACCAGTCTGAGGCCTCACGGTCGCACACAGAGCCGCCCAAGAACAGAACTGTCCCCTGGGTCCACGTGGAGCTTCCAGCACCAAGTGACCTTGGAGAGGTCAGACGGGTCCGCTGCAGGGGCTGGAGAGGGGAAGCCAGCTGCAGGCCACAGAAGGACCGCCCCGAGGCCGGCTGAGTTCATCGGAAAGCAGAGCTTCCATCTCCAGCCCAGGGTGAGGTCAGTCAGAGAAGACAAGCTGGAGCTGGCTTTCCCCAAGGTTACCTTGCTGGAGCTGGGTGAGGGACAGGACGGCACTGCCCGCCACACACCCACGTGGGTCCCGCCAGCCCCGGCTCCACAGAGGAGTCCCGAGGAGCAACCTGGGCTTCTGACCCGCCTGTGCCCCAGCCCTTGGGGTGGAGTCACTTAGAACTGGGACATCGTCTGTCTGTCTACCCAGACCTGTGCTGACTGCCGGGGTCACACCTGGGACACGGTTCCACCCGTGTGCATTTAGGCCCATAGACTGTGCGCCATCCTGCAGATGCAGCAGGGGTGCCTTCCGCAAAGCTAGCAAGTCTGCATCTGCCGTTGGGGGTGAATTCTTTGCTACAGAACTTGACATGTTAAGCGTGTAAACTAAGGGAACGAAATTAGAGGTCCTCCAGGGAAGCCTTGCCTCTTGGAGACTCGGGTTCCCGTGGGCCAGGCTGTGCACGTAGGCGTCCTTTTCTGTGGGCGTACAGGTGGGTGTCTTCACTGCCCACCACGACCATGTCTGGACGCAGGGCCACACCTCTGCGCCTGCGGGCCCCCGAGGCCCACAGGCCACGCTGCCCTGACACCCCCTTTCCTGCCGCCTTGACGCCTGTCTCCCGTGTGCCTTCCCTGGGGTCGCACACGTAGCCAGGGGAGGGATGTAGACACCACCCCCCCGGCCCCGCGTTGTCACGCAAGTGATTTAAGGGGCTTACAAAGGGGAAATGCAGCAAGAAAACAGTTCAAGACAGAGAAACCAGGCAGGCAGGGCCCCTTAACGGACTTGGGAAGGAGCAAACCCAGTAGGCATGTGGGCATGTGAGCACCGGCCAAGTCCAGGAGGCTGGAACGTGGGGCTCAGCGGCGCTGGGGGGTGATCCCCACTTCCAGGGGTCACGGATGAGGAAAAAAGCCGCGACATGAGACATGAGCCCAACCCATGTTTTGTTCTTTCTTCCTCGAGGTGACCCCGTGTCAACTGCACCGGGCTTTCCCATCCCTGACCCCGCTTGAAACATCCACGACCTGCCATGACCAGGCTGTGCGCCCTCTGCCTGGCGGAAAACCGGGCCTCTGCACCAGCTTCATGTTTCCCCCAGAACCTGCACCTCGGCCACTGGACACTCCTCCTGGCTGTCTTGGTCGGGGTCCCAGGTCATCTGCGGGGTGAGGGAGGCGAGGTGAGTGGCAGAGCCACAGTGGGGGCAAGTGCACCCTGGAAAGCCCCAGGGGCAGGGCCAGCGCAGAACACACGTCGGCGGGAGGCTCCCCAGGGGCTCCCGGACCCGCATCTCGGGGTGACCGCCCGTGTCACAGGACCGGAGCCGGCTCCTCCCCTGCCCATCACGTCCTCAGGCCACCCTCCAGGGCCACCAGTGCCCTGCTCCCTGGGTGGGGCTGCAGGCACCTGGCACCAGATGTGTCCCCCGGCGGGAGACACCACGTACCGTCCTTCCGTTCTGAAGTTTGCCATTGATATGGTCTTTCATGTGAGGGATGGGAGGGAACAGCTTCTGCATCACCGAGAACCTCGGAGGAGAGAGAGAGAACCTGTTCTGAAACCCGCACCCACCAGCGGAGGGGAGACGCGGCGTCCACTAGAGCCCCAGCGAGGCCCCGATGTAGTAGGAGTCCAGCCTCCTTTGGGAGGGGTCCCTGCAGGAGACGTGCGGAAATGAGAAAGCGGAGCCCTAGCAGAGCTGCACCTGCTCAGTCAGCTGCACCGCACCCACCTTGGCACCTCTCCCGAGACCCCATCCTATCACCATGGCAACCTCCCCACCCCCACAGCCTCCGCGCCGAGCCGGTGGTCCTCTCCCTGGGGCGGCGTCCCATCCGCTCCCAAACCAAGCCCCTGGGCGGGGCGGCTCAGCCTGAAGCGGCTGGGAGGGGTGGGCGTGAAGCCAGCAGACAGGCGAGGCAGGAGCCGGCGCTCGGGGCGGGGCCCCGCGCGGGGCGGGGCGGGGGCGCCGGCCTGGGCGGGGCCTGTGCCGGGCGCACCCTTTCGGCTCAGCACGCAGGCCTGTGGAAGGGACCGCAACCGGCTTGGCTGCCGCTGCCGCGCGCCTGCTGCCTGCCGGGCTGGGGAGGGGTCCCGGAGCCCCGTCCGGAGGAGCTTCCTTTTCTAGGGTCGTTCTTACGGCTGCCCCAGGGAACCAAGATGGCCGCCCAAGAGGGAGCCCGGCCAGCCCCCCTTGGGAGACAGGAAGATGCCTGGTTCTCAGAGGGGCCTGGAACCTCAAGCTCCCTTTGCGTCTCAGCTCAGGCTCTTGGCATCCAAAGAAAAATATTCTTTCTAATCACTAGAAGGTCAGTATTCGTGGTGGCCACCGCCGGTGAGGCCAAGAAGAGTGGTGGCATCTCGGGTGTCAGAGGGACGGAGGGGGCGGCGTCGGGGTGAGGTGTGAGGGAGCGAACAGCGCGGGCTTGTGGGGACCAGCAGACCCCCACACAGGTGCTGGGGAGGGAGGGGCCCGCAGGGTGCTGCACGGGGGATCCGGCTTCTTGGGTTCCGCGGGCGGCAGGGACCAGGTGGCAGAAACCAGGCTCTGGTTGGCAAAAGACCGCTGGGGCGACGAGAGGCGGTGGCCTGCGACTGGCGGGGGCGCGTCCCGCAGCCCAGACGCACGGGCGCACGGGGCGGGGCGGGGGCGGCGGAGAGTGGGCAGCGCGGGCTGCGTGGCCTGCGGATCGCACTCCAGAAAACGACCGCGCAAACCAGGGGCCCGCGGGCTCACCTGCAAAACCGGAGCACGAGCCCCATGGCCAGCAGCGTCCCCAGCGCGATCAGCAAAGACGTCAGCCAGACGGGGAGGCGCGCGCCCTCCTCACACACTAGGGAAGAGGGGCGGGACGCGTCGGGCAGGTCCCGGGAGGTCCGGGGTCAGCACCTCCACGGGGGCTCGGGGAGGAGGTGGCCGGCACTGGGGGCGGGGGGCGTGTCCAGGACCGCCGTCCACCTGGGGACAGCGGCCACCTGCGCACCGGGCCGGGCCCCGCGGGAATCCCTCCCAAGTCGCCAGAATCCCGAATGCCCCCGACCACCGACCGACACTTGGAGTTGGGGGCTGGTAGCGCCGACCCCTCGGATCAATTCGGGTCGTGGGCGGGGGGGAGGGGGGGTCAGCCACGCCCATCGGGAGGGGCGGGGCCGAGGTTGGTCTGTTCCCCACCTCCCTCCCTCCCTGCCTGCCACGCTGCGTCCTGGGTGCGCGCTGCCTTAGTTCTTGAATTTAATATATGGATTAAACATCATGGATTTTTCGCCTCAATTTCGATTCTTTTTTTTAACTGCATTAAAAGGTTTGTCTTGTAACTCAGAGTGTTGGCGATAGCCGTCTCCGCGCGCCTGGCGCAGCGCCATGGAACAGCTTGGACACACCATCACAGACGGGAGGGAGGCGGTCACAAGCCCAGGGACGTCGGGAGCCCCCAGAAGCTGGAAGAGACAGGAGGGACCCTCCCACTCACCGAAGTGTTGGGGGACACTCCACGGGCCCCAAGGTTTGTAATGGGAGAAGGTGGCATCCCTGGCCCTTACTTGCACCGTGTAGGTCCCAGGATTGTTCAGCTCCAAGAAGGCTTTATAGATCTGCAGTTTAAAAGAAAGTAGAGGGAAAAAAAAAAAAAAAAAAGAAAGTAGAGGGGAAAGTCCATTCCCAGTCCGTGGCGGAAGAATGGGGCCTTCAAGGGGTTGAGTGGGTCCTCCCCACATTCACGTGTTGGGGTCCTAACACTCAGCGTCTCAGAAGACGACTTTATTTGGAAATAGGGTTGATGCAGATGTGATGAGTTAAGAGGAGGTCGGATAGGGTACAGTGGACCCCTAGCCACTATGACTGGTGTCTTTATAAAGAGGGGAAACTCGGAGACAGACACGTGCATACACACAGGGAGACACCTTGTGGATATGGAAGGGATATGGCCACAAGCCCCGGGATGCCTGGAGCCCCCAGAAGCTGGAAGAGGCAGGAAGGACCCTCCGCTGGAGCCTTTGGAGGGAGCGCGGCCCTGGGACACCTTGGCCTCAGACGTCTGGTCTCCAGAACTGGGGGAGGGTGAATTTCTGTGGTTCTCAGTCACCCAGTCTACGGCTGCCCCAGGGAACTAAGATGGCCACCCAAGAGAGCCCGGCCAGCCCCCCTTGGGAGACAGGAAGATGCCTGGTGCTCAGAGGGGGCGGGAACCGCAAGCTCCCTTTGTGTCTCAGCCCAAGTTCTTGGCATCTAAACAAAAATATTCTTTCTAATCACTAGAAGGTCAGTATTCCTGGTGGCCGCTGCCGGTGAGGTCAAGAAGAGTGGTGGCATCTCGGGTGTCAGGCAGAATGGAGCCTGTAGAACATTCAGTGGGGTCCCCCCAAGAAGAGTCGTATCCCCAGAACCTGGGACCTTATTTGGAAACAGGGTCTCTGCAGAGGTGATGCAGTGAAGGGTCTGAGATGAGGTCCTCCTGGAGGAGGGTGGCCCTACATTCAATGACAGGGTCCTTCTAAGACACAGAAGAGGAGAGACCCAGACACAGAGGAGAAGCCCCGAGAAGACAGAGGCAGAGACGGGAGGAAGAGGCAGAGACAGAGACAGAGAGAGACAAAGGAGAGACGGGGGCCATGGGGTCTGTGGCCGGTAGTTGCGGTACGGAAGCAGCTGCCTCTGCAGGTTGGAGGCAGTTAGGTAGTGAATTAGCGCGTGGTGACACTCCCACCGAATCCTGAGGGCTTTGGGGGCCGGGGGGTGGACCTTTAGGGCAGCACCAGGCAGGTGATGGCATCCGGTCTATGGACCGGGGAGCTTCATCTCAGAGTCACTGGGCAGTAATAGACATAAGGAGCCTGCGCTTGGGATGCCAGATTGGGGCGGGGGCGGGGGACACCCACCTCCTGTTTGTAGGGGAGCTCCGTACCCTGTAAGAGAAAAGCAGAGCATGGGTGCCTGACCCCATCCCCAAGAAGGGCCCTCATTTGTCAGAGCATCTTCAGGTTTACAGAAAAATCGAGGATAAAATAGTCAGTCATTGAGTAGAAATAATAAATAGAATACTTCTTTACACAAAAATAATAAATAAAGGTAACTGAGTATAACATATCGAAGAACTAAAAAGTACCTGGGGGAGGGATAAATTAGGAGTTTGGGATTAACAGACACACACTACTATATATATACGATAGATAAATAACAAGGACCTACTGTAGAGCACAGGGAACTCTTGTAATAACATATATATATATATATATATATATATAAAACTGAATATATACAGTTAATATGTGTATGTAACTGAATCACTTTGCTGTGACCTGAAACTAGCACAACGTTGTAAATCAACTATGTTTCAATTAAAAACAAAAACTTTTTTAAGTACCTAGTCTTTTATTAAAAAAATAAAACTGATAGACTTGATTTTTTTGAGCCGTTTTGGTTAACAGAAAAATTGACCATACGCTAGTTGAGTCTAAATAATAAATATAATACATAAATCAGTAGACAACAATAGTAAACGTAAGTAAATCGTAGAGTATAAAATACCAACTACCTCAAACATATTTGGTCTTTTTAATCAATAGGCTTGACTTTTTTTGAGTGGTTTTGGGTTTACAGAAAACCCGAAGATAAGCAGTAATTGAGTATAAGTCATAGGTATATAAATACATTGACATAATGAATAAATATAAGTAAATAATTGAGTATAAAAATACCAATGAGCTCAAAACTGCTTATTTTCTTTTAATTTATGGACTAATTTTTTGAGCAGTTTTAGGTTTATAGAAGAGTTGAGTATGAAATAATCAGAACATGAATATAAATAATAAATATACACAAACAGGTAAATACACATAAAAGATAAATGTAAGTAAATAATTGAGTAAAAGAGGCTGATCAGTGCACAAATATTTGGTCTTTTAAATTAATAGATTTTTTGAGTAGTTTTAAGGTTGTGGAAAAATTGAGTATAAGCAGTAATTGAACATAGATAATAAATGTAATAAATATAAGTAAATAATTGAGTATAAAATACTGGTTGACTCAAAGTGCTCGGTCTTTTTTTAATTAATAGATTTTTTTGAATAGTTTTGTGTTTATAGAAAAATTGAGTAAACAGCAAGGTCCTACTGTGTAGCACAGGGAACTATATTCAATATCCCGTGACAAACCATCATGGAAAAGAATATGAAAAAGAATGTATATATGGGTATAACTGAATCACTTCGCTGTATAGCAGAAATTAACACAACAGAGTAAATCAACTATACTTCAATAAAATAAAAAATGAGTACAAGCAGTTATTGACTATAAATACATAAACAATAAATAATTACAAGTAGACAATTAAGTACAAAATACCACCTAGCTCAAAAATAGCTGGTCCTTTTTTTTTTAATCTATTGACTCCATTTTTTTGAGCAGTCTTAGGCTTATGAAAAAGTTGAGTGTAAAGTATAAATAAATGTAACACGTACAGAAAAATAAACATAGTCAATAACTATGTCAGTCATTGAGTATAGAATACCGGTGATCTCCAGCATATTTTTTTAACAGTAGCTTTATTCAGGTATGATTTGCATACAGCAAAGCACACCAGCAGAGCATATAATCTGCTGACTTTGGCAAACGTGTGCGTGAAACCGGCACAATACAGGAAACGTGTCCATCACCCCCAAATTCCCTCCAGCTTCTCCTCCATATGCCCTCCTCCCTGCGCCCCTGCCCCAGCCCTCAGATCTGTCCCTACAGAGCATCCTGAGTTTTCCTGTGTAAATCGTTTCTTTTATGACACTTTTAAACATACACACGGGACCCTCCAGTTCTTGGTGGCTAGGATTCCACTGCGTGGCTATATTTTGTTCATCCCTTCCCTAGGGTTGTGTCCTGTTTAGGGACCATTATACACGTAGGTGCTACAAACACTTAGGTCCCATCTTTGGGGGGCTACTGGTTTCATTTCTCGCAGGGGAATTGCAGGCTCTGTGACATACGGTCAGACAGAGTTTCACCAAGTGGCTGTTTCAACCTTTTGCTCTTTTTCTGTAGGGTTATCTTCTGCGTGTTGACAGGTAAACATCCCTCCTCTATCCCAAACCTGACGAAAGTATGCAAGCATTCCCTTCCATATTCTGATTCCTTTCCAACGTCAGCGGTGTCACTCAAACGGCCAAACACTTGGAGTTTTGCTAAAGCTCATTTATTTTACAGTTCCTCTGTTTATTTTGTTTTGAATGTTTCACCTACCCCCAAAGCCCCGGAGTCCAGGGGGATGTAAGAGTATAAGAGATGCCCACCCAGGAAACCGCTTACCTTCTGTATCTGCAGTTCATACTTGAAGTCATCATTAAGGTGACTCCTCACTTGCCACTGCATGAACGAGTAGCTTTGGTTACACCACCTGCTAGTGATGTTGGGAGCAGCTAATACCTCTAGGGAGAAAAAAAACACTTTTATGAGTAAAGCACATCAAAAAAGAATTTCTCCCCCCCCCCCCGCCCGGAGATACTTTTAAAAGAGGCCTCCTACAAGCTGGGGGGGGTGTGGGGGGGGAAGAGAGGAAAATGTCATTCCAAGGTTAAAAAGTATCAAGAGACAGAGACAAGTGAGAGAAAACTGTTGGGATGATTAGGGTCACTGAGCCTGCGGACCAGCTCAGACACTGGCCCGGGGGGACCCCTCACCCACTCGGAGGCCCTTGCAAAACTTTCTTCTCGTCTGTGCAGGGACACCCCTCAGAGCAGCGCTGTTCTTTTCCCTCTCGGCGATTCCAGGCCCTGGGGCTACGCTTCTCCAGCAGGGGGAGCAAAGCGCGGTCCAGCTGCAAGGTCCCGCCCTCCTGCCCACTGGACCAATCGGCTCTGCTCAGACCCCACCTCCAGGGCAGCTGGCCCCTCCCCGAGCTGCCCGGGGCCAGTCCTGCCCCCATGACTTTGGCCGCCAATCCCACTCCCAAAAGTTCACCCGGAATCTTCTGCCCCCGCCTTGGACTCTGACCGGGTCCCACCCCCTGCTTCCTTCTCACCTGCCACCCCCAGCGTGGGACCCAGCTCCTCCAGGACCCTCGGGCCCCCTCTGTGGGCTGTCCCAGGGCTCCGCCCTTTGCCCTCGCTGGGGTGTTGTGCATCCCTGATTCCGGCTCCTTCAGTTTCCTGAGGGACGGCGTCTAGGTCTACAGGTCTGACCCCCCGCCAGGACCCCACTGGTGTCTTCCCAGGCTCACCATGGGGTGGTTCCCGGTCCCGGGTCCCCCCACTGATGTGCACTCAGACCTCCGGCCGCCTCCACTCCCACTGCCACACGGGCTGGCATCACCCCGCCACCCCTGCTGGGAACCAGGCCGTGGACACCCCACGTGGACAGCAGGGCTGGGGCCGGAGCACAGTGCGGAGTTGCGGGCGGGGCTACACGTGTAGGGCTGCACTCGCCCAGGGGCTCGTGGTGTGTGAGGGACCTGGCATCAGAGTGAGGTTGGCTCCGGGCCGGGGGGACACCACAGACAAAGGCAGGAGCCCCATCCCGGCTTCTGAACCGGAGGCCCCCATCTTCTCCCCTTTTGCACCCACCTCTCCGCTCATATGCTTCCCTGCTACACGTGGACCAGCCAGGGTGGTGAGGGGCCAGGTTTCATGGGGCTTGAAGCTGTCCTAGTTTGGGGGGCAGTGGGGTCTAATTTAAAGTAAAAAGTATTGACAGAGCTTTGCTAAGATGGGTTTTGTGTTCTGAAAACCTGCCGTCGATAGATTCAAACAAAAAGAACAACTATTTTTGAGCTATTTTTGAACACAGGGCCTGGAGAGGGGCGACCCGCGTGAGACCCCCAGCCTCACGGTGCAGCTGTCCTCGGTGGATGGGGGGCACAGCGCCATCTGCTAGGTGTGTTCTGGAAATGCTTCCTTAGGTCCAGGGAACACAGAGTAGCTGCTGTAAGCTAGGTGTCTGTGTCTCCCCAGATTCACGTACGGAAGCCCTGACGCCCAGTGGGACAGCTTTAGAGGCAGGGCCTTTGGGACAGAATCGGGGTTAGATGAGGTCCTGAAGGTGAGGCCCCCATGATGGGATCCGTACCCTCATAATCAGAGCAAGGGGGTGTGGGATGAATTGGGAGATTGGGACGGACATGCGTACACTAAGATGTGTAACACAGATACCTAATGAGAACCTGCCGTACAGCACAGGGAACTCTACTTCGCGTTACAGCAGAAACTAACACAACACTGTAAAACAACTCTACCCCAATAAGAAATAAGAATAAAAAAGAAGTGGGGGAAGAGGCACCAGAGTTCGCTCTCCACTGTGTGAGGACACAGCAAACACGGAGCCACCCGCAAGCCAGGAAGAGGGTGACGTGCCCACGCCCCGACCTCCGACTCCCAGCCCCCAGGACTCTGGGAGAGGAGTGTGTAATCTAAGCGCCCAGCCTGGGGTATTCGGTTTCAGGACAGCAAGCAGCATCTCCACGGAAGTACGGCACACGAAGCAGGGTCACATTTTCTTACTCACCGATTTTGGCTAGTCTATCACTCGTTTCAGAGCAGGGGATTTTGGAACCACTGCTGGTGCCATTCACCAGGAAACGCGTCTGATCCTTGGATAACAGAGAGATGTTGTGAAAACGGCACTGGACGTTTGTCCCTTGCTCATCTGCTCTGTACTGGGAGCACGGCCACTTCTCATAGGAGCTGTGAGGGGTGGGGCTGCGTCATGAGCGGCCCTGAAGCCCTCACTCCAGCCCGGGGGAGCCCCGGCGAGCCCAAGGTCACACCTACTCCAGGTTCTCCAGGTAGAGATTGTACTGCACGTCCCTCGGGGCCTCCCGGCCCACCGCCCAGCTGCACGTCAGGAAATCCACGTCGTGAACCCAGCAGGTCAGGTTTTCTGCAGCCGCCCTGGGATTCCCTTCTGGGCTTGCAAAGAAGAGGGGGAAAAAAAAAAAACTGAGTCCCGGATAAACACCAAGGTCCTACTGTAGAGCCCAGGGAACTATATTCAATATCCTGGGATAAACCATCATGGAAAAGAATATGAAAAAGAATATTTATGTATAACTGAGTCACTTTGCTGGGCAGCAGAAATTAACACAAGGTTGTAAATCAACTATACGTCAATAAAATTTAAAAAAAAAGTTTTTTAAGTGAGTCTCTTTTTAGCGATCCTTGTGAATTCTCACGCGGTTCTAAGAAATAATAGAGGGGCTTCCCTGGTGGCGCAGTGGTTGAGAGCCTGCCTGCCGATGCAGGGGACACGGGTTCGTGCCCCAGTCCGGGAAGATCCCACGTGCGGTGGAGAGGCTGGGCCCGTGAGCCACGGCCGCTGAGCCTGCGCGTCCGGAGCCTGTGCTCCGCAACGGGAGAGGCCACAGCAGTGAGAGGCCCGCGTACAGCAAAAAAAAAAAAAAAAAAAAAAAAGAAATAATAGACACATCCATGTAGCGCTTACCGTTTCTGCAGTGGTAACAACTCCCGTCCCTGCAAGGCTCCCCGCCCATGGCCTGCCCCCCTGTGACCCTATAAACCCTCACCGGACCCCTCCTGCCCCCAACCCTGCCCACCTAACCCTAAGCCTAAGAAACGCCCAACAGTGTTCTGGAACTTTCTTTCTTTCTCTTACTAGCTACTCCTCAGCTAAAGTCCATTGCCATCAGAACCCTATTTTTAAGAAGTAACATATTTTGGATGAAACCTGGATCAGCTAGAGTCACGGAAGACTTTTTTTTTTTTTTTTGGCGGTACGCAGGCCTCTCACTGTTGTGGCCTCTCCCGTTGCGGAGCACAGGCTCCGGACGTGCAGGCTCAGCGGCCATGGCTCACGGGCCCAGCCGCTCTGCGGCATGTGGGATCTTCCCGGACCGGGGCACGAACCCGTGTCCCCTGCATCGGCAGGCGGACTCTCAACCACTGCGCCACCAGGGAAGCCCCATTTTTTTTTTTTTTAATGAAAGGGGAAAAGAAAAATCCAACAACATAAACTGTATTTCCAACAATTTGGAGCCAGAGTTTATCTTCCTCGTTTTCCTATTCTCAGAAGAGCACAGTTTTGTGATATTCCAACTTCCTGACAAAGAGCGCAGGAGGTGTTCAGACTTGCTACTGGTGTTCTCTCTGTCCAAACCGTATATGGGATCAGACAATCTGTTTGCTTGGCATGAGGAAAATGATAAAACTCTGTTCTCAAACTAAAAAGACAAAACAAAACAAAAAAGCAAAAACACAAAAACCAACAACAACAAAACTGCTCTATGTTTCTACAGCTCCGTTCATTCAGGCAGGTGACGTGTGTGAAATTGCGTGAGACCCTCCGAGATGGTCTTTTTCCCACGAAGCTATGTCCCTGGAGACCCATCCAAGGTAAAAGCCATTATTTTGGTATTCAGAGCACTAACGGATGATTGAAAGCAAAGGACACCCTGAAAGAGCATCTTCCCCTCACCTTGACTAGGATACTGAATCCACGTGGAGAATGGCTGACCTTTGGTCACCTTGATGCTGTAGTTTGTAGCTTGGCATGACAAGTCAAGAAAACTGCAATACGTCCTTTTCCGTGCCTGAGAGAGACAGAGCAATCTATTATTGCTCTGTCCCTAATTAGTATTACCAATCATAATTAGGGGAGAGCCAATAAAACACTGAGACTTTAGATTTAAAAAAGAAAGAAAGAAAACTAGAGGTTTTCTTTAGTTTTCCTCAACATCCAAAGCCGGAGTCTCGGTATTCATGCAGAGAGAGAGAGAGAGAGGGAGATGGAAATGAGGAAATCACTCACCAAAAGGAAAAAACTATCCTAGAAGGTTCTAAGACAGAGTTGGCAGAATGCCTTGATATTTTGAGAAGATATTTAGCCATTTGGCCAAGAATGTGATGGTAAAGTAGTGACGGACAAACTGGGCAAACAGATAAAAACCGAAGGAAACGGAAATTATTAGATTTAGGAGAAACAAACATTTGTGTAAGACAGGAAAGAAAACTCCCCATTAACCACATGGCTCAGGTGTGAATAGTGTTTATATGGTTATAATAAACTGAATATTTGTCGAGAGAGGAGAGAGTGTGAGCTGGGGATGGCAACTGCTGGGGAGGTGGGTTGTGGGCGTAGGAAATAGAGAGTGAAGCCTCCCGTCCCTTAGGAGAAAAATCAACACATTTTGGCTAAACTGAACGAATCAAGAATTTGTGTTACAGAGAGATGCAGAGGTCTAGGACAACAGCAACAGGTGTAAAAAGGTAAAAAGTGATGTCTCACTGAAAAGTTGCTCTTTTGTTATAACGAACCCCGTACGACTATTTTCCTCTTTAAACTCTGTGCAGGTATTGCTTTGATTTGAAAACAAAAAACAGAAAACAGGAAAAGAGGGCTTCCCTGGTGGCGCAGAGGTTAAGAATCCGCCTGCTGATGCAGGGGACACGGGTTCGAGCCCTGGTCCGGGAAGATCCCGCATGCCGCAGAGCAACTAAGCCCGTGCGCCACAACTACTGAGCCCACGTGCCACAACTACTGAAGCCCGTGTGCCTAGGGCCGTGCTCCGCAAGAAGAGAAGCCACCGCAATGAGAAGCCCATGCCCCGCAACGAAGAGTGGCCCCCGCTCGCCGCAACTAGAGAAAGCCCGCGCACAGCAACGAAGACCCAACACAGCCAAAACTAAATAAATAAGTTAAATAAAAAAAAAAATTCTCGGTTCTTCTGCAACATTTGTTCTTGCAGATAGAGTTTAGGGTCAACTGGCCAAACTCCATTAAAATCCCATAGGGGTTTGTCATGAACTGGATTGTGCCCTACCCCCCCCCCGCAAAAAAAAAAACCCTCATATATTGAAATCCAAACCCTTAATGGAAATGTATTTGGCGTTGGGGGTCCTTAAAGAGGGGATGAAAGTAAAATGAGGTCATTAGGGTGGGTCCTGATCCCATAGGACTGCTGTCCTTATGAGAAGAGGAGATCAGGACACAGACACACACAGAGGGACGACCACGTGAGGACACAGGGAGGAGACGGCCGTCTACACGCCCAGGAGAGAGGCCTCGGGAGGAAACAGCCCTGCCGACACCTGGGATCTCAGATTCCAGCCTCCAGGACTGGGAGAGATACATGTCTGTTGTTTACGCCGCCCCGTGTGCGGTGCTTTGTTACAGCAGCAGCCCAAGCGGACTAACATAGGGTGTGATTTGGATTGTACTCAGTTGAGAGTCATTTGAGGGAACCAAGGTTCTTCCCAAGGACGCGGACAGGTGCACGTGCTCAACGGTTGGCATTCTCACCACGGCCTGCCCATGGGACATGTCACAGTTCTCACGCCCTCTGAACCCTCTGACACAGGAGGGGATTTGAGTGGGGGGCAAGGGATGGTGGAGGGGGACAGTGTTTCCCGAGGTCTCACTTTCAACTGGGCTTGGTTCTCTACCTGCAGTATCTCAGCCCATTTCCACACCAACCCTCTCCGGTGGGTACCATTCTGGATGTCTTACAGATCAGGAGCCCCAAGCCGCAGTGCCCGTAAAGGACCCCACATTCCACAGCTGAGCCCAGGAGTAGAACCCGTGTCTCTGTGATGCTATGTACAGGGAAGACGGTTTACCTTAGTGAAAGCTTTTGAATTGATGAAACACATAATTTCGGAAACGTTTCCATGGAGGTCCCAGGTCAATCTTTTTCTTTCTGGCTCCATCCTTAGGTTCTTAATTGGTGGGTCTGGATCGGAAATGTCTATAGGGTAAGGGTCTGGAGAGAGGCACACAACGCTTAAATTTGTCCTACTCAGTTACCCCTTGGGAAGTTGAGTTCCACACGGAGAAGTGGTTGCCTGAAGCAAGCAGAGGCCCCGAATCTGTAGTACCTTAGTGAGCTCACCAGCTCACCCTCCCAACAATGGGGGAAGAGAGTCAGAAAAGCAGATCACTGCTGCCGTCCGCGTTGATGGGAAATGTACCTTTCTTAACCATGTATGTCAAAGAAGGTCGTTTTCACTGAAAACCAATTCAGGCTGAGAGAGTTGGCTCAGTGTCTGTTCTACAGACTGAGAATTCGGAATGCTTTGCAAGTTGCAATAGAAATTTTAATGTAGGGACTTCACTGGCGGTCCCGTGGTTAAGACTTCGCCTTCCAATGCAGGGGGTGCGGGTTCGATCCCTGGTTGGGGAGCTGAGATGCCACATGCCTCGGGGCCAAAAAACCCAAACATAAAACAGAAGAAGTATTGTAACAAATTCAATAAAGACTTTAAAAGTGGTCCACATCAGAAAATCTTTTTAAAAAAAGAAGAAATTTTAATGTGATATATTAAAAATATATAAAAATATATAAACTTATATATATAATGGAATATATATTTTCATAAAGTAGGAGACCTGATCTTTACACAATGATATTTATGTTCTTACACAGAGTGCCAGAGGAATTCTCATCTTCTTGGAAAACCACCCAAAGTGCGTACATCTAAATACATTTTGAAGTGTAATCAAAGCACATATATATTCGTATGATGCTGTCAATGGGGACGGAGGTCAGAGTTTGCAGACCAAAGGATTCCACGTGTTTTATCAGTGACTTGCTTCATGAAGCGATCACATAGAACCAACAACTCAAAGCTATAAAGGTCCATCAGACATTTCTTCAGCTGTTATCTGTGACCCCTCATTTAGAGGATTTCCCAGAAATGACTGTTTATAAACCACAAGCACTGTGATCAGTTATCAGGATCAACAACCTTAGTTTGACAAGCAAGACCAAATCCTATGAATATCCTGGTTTCTGGCATTACGGTCTCCCAACCTATAAGGATAATTTATTCCTTAAAAAACAACTTCCCTAGGGAAACTTCTTACAAGTGAAAATGTAATTTTTCATGGATTCTTATGCCTCAGAATTTATATTCACTTCTTCCAAAACAACAGTAAATAGCATTAAAACAGCTATGAGTGATGCTGTAGGAAATACGTTTAGCGTATTTTTATTACATTTAAGTTTGTTTTTAATTTTTATAGCTTTATTTACAACTTTAATTATTTTACTTTGTTTTTGTTTTTTTTTTTTTTTTTTTTTGCGGTACGTGGGCCTGTCACTGTTGTGGCCTCTCTCGCTGCGGAGCACAGGCTCCGGACGTGCAGGCTCAGCGGCCGTGGCTCACGGGCCCAGCCGCTCCGCGGCATGTGGGATCCTCCCGGACTGGGGCATGAACCCACATCCCCTGCATTGGCAGGTGGACCCTCAACCACTGCGCCACCAGGGAAGCCCACAACTTTAATTATTTTAAAATTAAAATTTTAAAATAATCTAATATGAAATGTACTTATATAAAATTATATATATTTATATAAATAAGTCCATATATATTTAAATCACATAACAAGGGAGTTTTCTGTCACTATGTTTTCCGTAAAATCGACCTGTGCTCCCTTAGAGTGGTTATTATCTACCCAGTTACAGTTGTGCTCACAAATAAAAAAGAACTTTAATGCAAACAGAAGAAAGTAAAAGCAAATCTGTAAAGACAAAATGAAACAAAATCAATGCAAATACACATAAGAGTGTTTACTGCAATATACTCGTGACCCTCCAGTACTCTGAAAGAAAAGGGACATAGTGTTCTCAACCCTAGAGGTTTTGAAAAACTATAGATGGTGGGAAATACTCTTCCAGTCATGATAAAGTAGTCTCAGCTGTATCTCTCACCATAAGCCCCTAGAAAACGGCCAAATATATAAATCGACTATTTTTAGACTTTCTGAAAACTAAGACAAACAATTCTGAGAGTGTATTTTGGGGTGGGAGACATTCACAATCCAATGGGACAAGGTGGAGATTCCTTGCTGAACACTGAGAAGTCAGTAAAGACCCCAGAAGAGTCATGCCTTTGTTGTCGGAGAGAAAAAGCTAAAGGTGACTCACCTTGAAAAAGCTTCAAAACAAGGTGACCCACCAATAAAGGAATGGCCTGCTGAAACAAAACTCACCATCTTTAAAGAAGGCAACCAAAGCAGACCCTCACCAACCCATCCTTCACAATATCCAGCACCCAGTAAAAAATTACTAGACACGCAGAGAAGCAGGAATGTGTTGGCTGTGACCAGAAGAAATATCAGGTCATAGAAATCGTCCCCTAAGGGGCCGATGATGAAATTAACAGAGACGTCCATTAAAACAGCCACTATAAACATGTTAGAGGACGTGAAGGAAAACATGAACACTATGCAGTGAGCAATGGAAGATATAAAGGAAGAACCAAACGGAATTTTTAGACGTAGAACATATAGCATCTGAGATGAAAAAATTCACTTGGATGAACTGGAAGACGATGGAAATGATCTACGCTGAAGCCCCCAAAGAAAAATATTTGAAGAAATTGTGGCCAAACATTTTCCTAACTTAATGAAAATTATAAACCTACAGGCCCAGGAAGCTCAAAAACCCTATACCTAGGATACACAGACACACAGGTACCAACAAACACAAACGCTAAGACGCATCGTCCTCAAATGCCTTTTTAAAAAGTGGTGTCAAGAAAATCTTAAAAAACCGATGGAAAAAAGGCACCGCACCTATCAGAGAACAAAGATAAGAATTTCTGCTGATTTCTCTTTAGAAACAATGGGAGACAGAAGGTAACAGAACGACTTCTCCCAATGCTGCAAGAAAACAGTACAAATCCTGGTCAACCTAGAATCTATATCTTAGCGATAAATGGAAGGTGAAATATAAAGACTTTTTATAGTGACGAAAAGTGAAAGGTTTTTTTTTTTTTTGTATTTTTGTATTTGTTTGCTTTTTTGCTAGAAGAGCAGGTCTGTAAGAAATGTTTTCAAAAAAGGCTTTTCTGGCTGAAGGAGAAATCAGCAGATGGACACTCACGAAGGAATGTGGAACCAAGGTGAGCAGAGATGCAACAAAAGCATACCAGAAATAGTAGAAATGTAGGCAAACATGGAAAGCTTTCCCATTTTTTTAAGGTTTTAAAAAGATAATTCTTTAAAAGAAAATATTGTATTGTGTATTGTGGGCTTATAGAGATGTAGAAGTACATGTGTGACATGGCATAAAGGATGAGGCAGGAAGTAAACGTATACTGTTTTGAGATCCCTATGTTCTATGTGAAGTAGAATAACGTTATTTGAAGATAGTGTGTACTGAATGAATCATCCCAGAGGAACCGCACAAGCCGTGGAACAAAGAGGGCTAGCCCAAAAGCCAATGGTGGAGAAAAACACAAAAACAAGAAAAGCACTAAAAAAGTAACTGAAAAGAAGTCAGGAAAGGAGGGGCGGAAAAAAGAAAAAAGAAAAACTGAAAAAAAAAAAAACAGCAAACAAGTAGCAAAATGGTAGAATTAAACTCAATCATCTTAATAAGTTCATTGCATGCAAATGGTCTAAACACTCCAGTGAGAAGGAACGTTTGTCAGACTAGATTTTAAAAGTACCCCACAGTATGCTGTCTGCAAGAAACGTACTTTAAATATAGTTTAAATGGCAATAATAGGAAAGCATATTTTATGCAAACTCCAATTGTATAAAACCTAGGATTTTATCCCAGGATTTTATTTCCGGGGGTAAGAAGGGACCATTTCAAGTGACTAAATGGCCAATTCATCCTAATATATGTGCTCTCAACAGTCATTTTGAAAATACATGAGGCATAAGTGCCACCTCCCTCTCTAATAGAACAGATAGAAAACGGGAGGGATATACAGGACTTGAACAAAATATCAACAATTTGACCTAATTGACATTGTGGGGACATTCTAACCAATGACGGCAGGGTGCACATTTGTTTTTGTTTTTTTTGGGGGGGCGGGGGGCGAGCCACACGGCTTGTGGGATCTTAGTTCCCTGACCAGGGCTGGAACCCGCGGCCCCTGCAGTGGAAGTGCAGAGTCCTAACCACTGGACCACCAGGGAACTCCCAGGATGCACATTTTTATCAACTACAAACAGAAGATTCATCAAAATAGACCATGTACTGGCATGGGAAGTGTCAGTCCTTTTAAAAAGGTTTAAATCATTCACTGTGTATATATTCTCTGACTACAATTCTCTCTTGATTAAATTCAAGATCAGTCTTCTAAAATCTGGAACACACCAGATATTTGCAAACAAAACGACATACTGATAAATTACCATATGCGTCTTAGAAGAAATCACAGGAAATGTAGAACATATTTTGAACTGAATGAAAATGAAAGAAAAAAAAAGTGCGATGGAGCTACAGCAATGCTTACAGGGAAATTTATAACATTACATGTTTATGTTAGGAATAGAGTTTAAATTCAAGAATCAGTTTCCACATGAAGACGTTAGAGAAAGAAGAACAAATTAAATTGAAAAGAAATTAAACCTAAAGCAAAATCCCTAAAAAAAAAAAAGGGAACAAAAAAAAATCAGTGAAAAAGAAAATGGAAAAACTATATAGATTGTCAAGGAAACCAAAAGCTGGTGCTACACAAGAGACAATATAATTGAAAAACCTCTCTCTCGCTACACTGATCAAGAAAAAAACAAAAAAAGACCAATTTTAGGAATGAAAGAGGGGACACTGATACACATCCTGAAAGACATTGAAAGAAGAATTGGGGGTAATTTGAACAAAAGTTATGCCAATACCTTCAACAATGTATGACATGAACCAACTTCTTGAAAGACACACATTAGCAGTACTGACATAAGTGGCAAACCTGAATAACCCTGTAAGTATTAAAGGAATAGAATATATAATGAAAAAGCTTCCCCAAAAGAAAGCATCAGGCACAGATGGCTTTGCGGCTGAATTCCACCAGCAGTTTAAAAAAGAAATAGTAACAATGTGCAGAAACTTTCCAAAAACAGAGGAAAGGCGGGAAACATGTTCTGACTCACTTTATGAGGCCAGCGTTATACTGATACCAAAATCAAAACGTTAAAAGTAAACTGAAACCCAAAACGCCTTATATTCCTGGACACAAAATTCCTTCACAGAATACTAGCCCATAAAATCAGGTAAAGTACAAAAGTGGTAACACCTCCTGACTCAACGGATTTACTCCAGGAATATTATAAGGCTATTTTAACCATCGCTATAATGTGCCCCTTTAACAGAAAACTGGTGATCTTATCACTAGAAGCAGGAAAACCTTTTGACAATGTTTAACACCCCTTTGAGACGAAAAACTCTCAGCAAACTAGACAGGGACGAAAACGTCCTTCCCCTGATAAATCTATGAAAATCCTGGCGCTAATTCAGACTCAGTAGGGAAGGACTAACCACTTCTCCGTATGATTCGAACAAGACAAGGTGTCTGGTTTCAACGCTTCTATTCCACCGCGTCCTGTACCCACGGCCTCTCTAATGCACTTTGACCAATGTTGTAGTTTTAGGGCGCTTTGGGGGGAAATGTTAGAACGGTACAACACGCTCCCTGCTTCCTTCAGCGTTTGGCTCCTAGAAAGCTACTCACTTCCTGCCTGTGGTAAGTGACCCCAGAATACCCATGGGCCTGAAGCCACCACAAAGGTGGCAGCAGCCTCAGCCCAGTACAAGTGGGGCACACAAAGACGGGAAGCGGGGGTGGGAGCCTCAGGCGTGGAGAAAGCCCCTCCCCTTCCAGACCTCCTGCATCTCCCGGGCCCTCTGGTCACCAGGTGTGGCCACGTGACTGACTTGGAGTCCAGGAAATGGACAGAAACAACGTGTGGTCCTTTTAGCTTAGACCTCTAAGAACTCCCGTGTGATCCGTCTACAAACTCCTCCAAGGAGATGATGGAGCTTCCCGGGTCCATCCGTATGTAAGGATCCCGGGTCTGTACATGGAACAGAACCACTTGGGATGGACTGAACTGTGTCCTTTCTCCAGCCCTCCCCAAATCATGCTGGAGTCCTAACCTCAGAATGGGACCTTAGCTGGAAATAGGGTGAGTGCAGATGTAATTAATTAAGGTGAGGTCCCGCTGCCATACTGTGGCCCTAACCCAGTCCGACTGGTGTCCTTATTAAGAGGGGAAATTTGGGTACAGGTACACACCCGGGGAGAACCCCCTGTGAAGACAGGAGGGAGGCGGCCACAAGCCCAGGGACGCCTGGAGCCCCCAGAAGCTGGAAGAGGCGGGAAGGACCCTCCCCTGGAGCCTCTGGAGGGAGCGCGGCCCTGGGACACCTTGACCTCAGACGTCTGGTCTCCAGGACTGGGATAAATAAATGTATGTCACTCAAGTCCTCCAGACTATGGTATTTTGTTAAGGCAGCCTGAGCTGAGTAAGCCAGCGGTCCCCAGAAGAACGATACCGATGCCCCAACACACACACCACACACACACACACGCACACACACACACACGCGCGCGCACACACACACTCACACACGCACACACTCGCGCACACACACACGCGCGCACACACACACTCACACCATCTGAACTCCACTGCTCTTTGAGGAAGGAGCGAACTTCTCATGGTTAGGCAGTGCTGTGGCCATCACAGCGGCACAGGGTGCCATGCCTGATGCAAGCGCCCAGCACCCATGGTGAGGGGGTGTACCCTGCTCCCGTTGCCTGAAGCGCTGCTCCACATGTGCGTGTTGTGCGAGCTGGACAGGAAGCTTGGTCACTGTCCCGGGTCCACCGGTCACTCAGCGAAGCCCTGATGGGAGGGGCTTCTCTGCAGACCCTCCCCAAGGCAGCATGCCTGCCTGGAGGGCACCATATCTCTTGTACTCCTGTAAGCATCCAGGTCTTTGCACCCCGAGTTGGGCGCCCTCACTACTGGGCGCCCAGGAAACGTAGACTCTCCGTACCCCGGGGCCGAGGGCGCGGCTCCCCTTGGGGGTTCTGCTGCCTGGTGGTGGGCGCTCTCCACCAGCAGCAGACTGGCTCTGCACCCTGCCCCACCTGGGATATTCTCTCCCAGCCACACCCGTCACCCGAAGTCAGCCGGACACTGACGGTCAGAGGTGGGCACGGCAGCTTAAGAACCTACATCACTGTCTTTTCGCCTCCTTATCGTGTGTTACGGTCGGACTTCACTATCATGTCGTGAATTGTTTCCTACCCATCACCACCGTGCTTGAAGATGGTGGGAACTTCCTGGACGCCACGGAGACCCTGGTTTGCACCCTACCCCCCATAAATCTCCGTTACAAATGTGAGAAAAACAGGATGGAGTTGCCCCCAAAGCATCTCACTCGTTGCTTATCTGCCTGTCCAAGCTCCAGACGACGCATCTCTCATGACACCTGGATTTTTATCTCCCGGTCCCGGAGGCCGGGATGCTATAGGATTGGTTCTTCCCAGAGACTCAGAGGGAGAATCCGTTCCAGCTGGAGAACCTCTGCAGCTTCTGGGAGCTGCCCCGCCCCAGTCCTAGGCGTTCCTGCACTTGTGACTGCATCACCCCAATCTCTCCTCTATTGCTACCTAGCTTCTCCCTGTGTCCATGCCTGGGTCCAAATCTCCCCTCCTCATAAGGACACCCATTGTTCTGGACAGGGATCCACCCACGTGACCTCATCTTAACTCAGGGACGTCTGTAAAGACCCTATTTCCAAATAACTCCGGTTGACAGGTTCTGTTCGTTAGGACTTCAGCGCATGAATCTGGCGAGGACGGAGTTCAGCCCATCACCCTAATGTTTGCACGGGGTTCTTCCGACCCAGAGAGAGGGTGACAATAAATCCAAGCACACTGACGGGTCCCAGCGCCCTAGCTACACCAAGAGCTCTGGAGGTAGTGTCTTGACCATATCAGCATGAACATCCTGTCTGTGAGGTACCAGTTTTGCAAGATGAACCCACCGGGGTGACTGAGGGGAAGCCTATGTGGGAAGTGTCTGCACTATCTCTTATGGCAGCCGAGTGACTCGACCGTGACCCCCAACGTAAACAGTTGCGCTGAAAAGCAACACAGCCCCAGGGACCCACAGACCGCACGCGGCTTTTCCTACCGTGGTCCGGTGGCAGCAGGCCGGAGACGGGCACCAGGAAGACCGCCAGCCAGACGAAAGCCATGGCCAAGGCAGCTCCCACAGGAGGGCGGGCGCCAGCTGGAGGAGAAGAGACAGTGGCCGCATGGGGTGGCTGCAGGGAGGGGGCTGAGCCCCCAGGGCTGTCTTGCTCCGAGCGCAGGGAGCTGCTTCCGGGAGGAGAGCCTCCCATGTGTGTGCACGTGTGTGTGCATGTGTGCGTATGCGTGTGTGCACGTGTGTATGCATCCGTGTATACCGCATGCCTTGTGCATGCGTCTGCATGTGTCTGCACATATTATTTGTGTTTATGTGTCTGTGCACTATGTATGCACATGTGTGCACGTGTGTATCTGTGTGTATATCTCTGCGTCTTGTATATGCATCTGTGTGCACTGCATGTCTCTATATGCATATGCATGCATGTGTTGCACACATTACATGTGTTTGTGTGTCTCTGTGTGTGCTGTGTGTGCATACGCGTGTCTCTGTGTGTATGTGTGTGCACACATTACACAGGTCTTTGTGTGTCTGTGTGTGCATGTATGTCTGTGTGCATGCACGTGTGCACTCATGTGTGCATGTGTGTATCTGTGTGTATTGCGTGCACACATTACACAGGTCTGTGTGTGTATGTGTACATGCATGCCTGCGTGTATGCAGGTCTGCACATATGTGTCTGCGTGCATGTGTGTGTGCGCATGTGTGTGTGTGTGTCTCAGCCTCTCTAAAAAGCTCCCGCCCCGGGGTTTGAGCTCACCCTTGGCTCCAGCCCCATCCCGGAACCCAGAAAGCACCCTCCACGCAGCACCAGGAAACACTGGGCTCACAGAACAGTGGAAGGAAGTTTAGTTAAGAGCATGAAGTACAACGCAGTTTCCTGAACAGACCGAGTTACGGTCACTAAATCCCGTGCTGTCTCATCGTTCCTGCCAGAGCTTTTCCCCAGGTCCCCATGAAGCCCCCCTCTGCAGGCCGGCTCTCCTGGACCCTCCCCCGGGGGTCCACCTTCTGCACCTTCCGGGCCCCAGCGGCAGGGTCTCCCGACGGACCCCACCCATTCCCCCCCCAACCTGAGTCACTCATGCAAATGCCCTTGGCGCCTGGAGGCCGACCCGGGGCTGCCACCCAAGCAGAGCCTTGGACCCTCAGCTGCCTCGGGGGCCACATCCGCAGGCTCTCTGTGCCGGTCAGGGTCGCCCAAAGACCTGACCGCCACTCCCCGCCATCCCACCTGGAGCATCTTGGCTGGGATTGAGAGGGGGTGCCCAGGACGCACCCTACCTCTTTCAGGGCCTGTCCAGCACCCCCATCATGAGACCCAACCCAGACTCCATCCATCTGGGGTCTCACCTGCTCCCCCATCCAGGTCTGGGGCTCCCACAAGATTCCCCAGGACTGACCTGGTCCCCCAAAAGTGCCAACTTTCACACAGATTTGACACCAGAAGCCGACACCCAGGGTCCTTCTTGCCAAACTGGGTGGAGGGAAGCCCGAGAGACCCCTTTCCAGGACAAGGCAACGGGTCAGATCCGGAACTGCCCGTCACAGGGAGGCGTCCCGGGACAGATGCCAAACCATCCATCTGTGGTACAGGGATGAGGGTGAGGAGGGCCAGGCGTCGGGCACAAAGCTTCAGGGGAGGTGCCTCCCAGCCAGGCCTCACGATCCAGAGCAGTAAATGCCGTGCTCACAAAAGGTCCAGGCGCGGATCCACGGGGAGAAGAAGAATATCGGATGAGCACGGCCTCGGGCCCCTCTTTGATTGATGAAGACGGGCCCCTGTGGGCATCGAGGCAGGGGTGGGTGTCTGTTCCTGGCGTCTGCTCAGGTGAGCCGAGCCCCACAGGTACACACGGCTCCAGCCTCGCGACACTGAGCCCACCCACAGGCATCTCTCCTCGCTCGGAGAAGCTCACGTCCTTTAAACACCCACATTGCATGAGGGTCATCGACGTATCCTGCTGCCCCCAGATCGCGAAAGGAAGAGGCGTGCCTGGGCAGAGTCAAGCCCCCAGAGGCCGGGGATGTGGTCGGGCTCAGCAGGATCGGGGCGAGGTAAGGGGCCTTGGGGCTCTGCACCCCGGCACCTCGCCTGCCTGCATCTGGGGGCAAATGTGAGCCTGCAGGAGTCGGGGGCACTGTGATTGGGGGAAGCCTCTCATCCGGGGAGAGCCACTCCGAACCGTTCATCCATTCGGCCAACGCATAGGACCCGGCGCAAGACACAGAGGTGGTCAAGACCCCCGGGCATCCAGCCTAGTACAGGGTGGCACTGCGGTCGGATCCCGTAACCGGGGTCAGTGACACACTCAGCAACCTCCTTGGGCATAAAGGCTTTGAATCGTTGTGTGTTGCCCCGGATGACACATCTCAGCGGCCACGAGCCACGTTCAAATCCTGGGGGGTCCCGCCCCTGCCCCCGGGGCTGGCGGTCAGTACTGAGTCTCCAGGGACAGCAGTCGAGGACGCTGCCTGCCTCCTGCCCCCCAGCCCGGCCCCGGGGTCTAACCTGGGATGCAGAGCACGGTCTGGCCGGAGAGAGGCAGCCTCTCCTGGTGCTGGTCTAGCTGGCCTGGGGGTGGGCCCCGAGCTCTCCTGGCTTCTCAGCTGTGCTGCAGGCAGCCTCCCGAAAGAGAAAGAACCTTGTTTCTTCTCTCATCAGTGTTTTTATAGCCTCCGGGGTCAGCCCCACCCCTAAAAACTAAGCCCCAGTGAGCCGGGGAGGCGGGGAGAATGTGTTGAGGGTGTGACCAGGTCCAGGAGCCCTCTGCACCCCTCAGCTCAGAATTACGGTCTGGGGTCAGGAACAGGACTGCAGCTCTGTGCTCTCCTGGAAGGAACACCCTTGCTTTCAAAGTCTGCTTTTCCCGTTCTCACTTCTGTTTGTAGGTTCCTCTTTGTCACAATCCTAGTGGCTTCCCGCCATTCACCCCGGCTTGGGCAGTTTCCTGGAGCCGTGTCGTGGGTAAAGCCGGTCAGCGTGAATGGCCGGGGCCCTGGCCCCCTTCCTTCGAGGTCCCATTGGAATGACCGCTCGTGCCCAAGGGGACAGGGAGGTGACCCCGGGCCCCCGATGCGCTGGCTCAGTCTCCATGGGACCGCAGACCCCTCAGCCGCCCACTCTGGCGCCCCCGGCTCCGTCCCCATCAGCGGTTTAGTGCCGTCAGACAAGCAATGACTAATTTCAGAAAAGCCCCCACACAGCCGGGGGCTGGCGGCGTGGGGAGCGTGTGTTGTGTGCCTGGAATCCAGCCCTCCATGTGGGGAAGGAGCTACGGGGAACAGAAATGGGGAACCGGGAAAGGGGGTGGGCGAGGCCAGGGCACGGAGCAGCTGGGCCGGGAGAGACCAGAATAGCAGCCCGTCCAGCCAGCGCCTAGCACCTGCCACGCGGCCCGGGGGCATGGCCGGCTCGGCGAGGAGGGCGGGGTCGGCAGCGCCTCCGCCCCAGGAAACCTGTGGCCCCGTGGACGGCAGACAGACGACAGCCCAAGGCCGCATGCCCGTCGGGCGCCCGACGGGGCTCCCGGCCGCCGGGGGAGCTCCTAGGGACCTGCTGAGGGGCGGGACGCCCCCCGCGGGATGCAGTGGATCAGTTCCCGGGGGGCTGCTTCCCTGTGGCCACGGTCACCGCCCAGCAATGCAGCCCCTAAACCCCCTTCCCACGCGGCCTCCGGCTGGGCCCGCGTACCAGAACGCAGGCCACGGCACAGAGCTTCGACCGGCCCGTGGACATAAAAGTGATGGGCTCCCACCCTTATCATCCAGGCGCCCGGGCTTCCCATCCTCCCAACAACGTTTATCAGGCAGGGTTTGGCCATGAGATGACGCTTTTTGGCTACATGTCCTTCAAACACCACAGTAAAATGCTAACAATACTAGTGACTGTGATTCTATGATGATATAGTTGCAGGACCACCTTAAATCAAAGTAGGCTCACATATTTAAGAGAATATATGTACACAGTGCTATATATAGGATGGATAACCAACAAGGACCTACCGTGTAGCACAGGGAACTCTATTCAATATCTTGTAATAGGAAACGAATCTGGAAAAGAATATATATGTGTAACTGAATCACTTTGCTGCACACCTGAAACTAACACAACACTGGTAATCAACTATACTCCAATATAAAATAAAAAGTTTAAAAGTAAATAATAGGGACTTCCCTGGTGGCGCAGTGGTTGAGAATCCGCCTGCCAATGCAGGGGACATAGGTTCGAGCCCTGGTCCAGGAAGATCCCACATGCCGGGGAGCAACTAAGCCCGTGCGCCACAACTACTGAGCCTGCACACTAGAGCTCTTGAGCCACAGCTACTGAAGCCCGCACGCCTAGAGCCCGAGCTCTGCGACAGGAGAAGCCACTGCAATGAGAAGCCCGTGTACCGCAAAGAAGAGCAGCCCCCACTCGCCGCAACTAGAGAAAGCCCGCGCGCAGCAATGAAGACCCAACACAGCCAAAAATAAATAAATAAATAATTTTTTAAAAAAAGTAAATAACAACTAAATAAAAGACTACATGTATATAGTATATTATTATAATCATACAGGTACATTAATGTATGACTTACATGGTGTACATTAATTAATGTTTGCATCAATGTTACATAGCATTCATGTCTATTAATTAACCTTGGTGTATAAGTACATTCGTATACATTAAATATTAAATGTGTGTTTATTTATTTAAGGGAAAACGTTCCGTCTGTTTGTCTTTCGCTACAGACACACGCGTGTTTCCGGCGGGGTTCAGCCCGTCTCCCTGGGGCCTGCGTCTCACACACCCTGTTGGGTCCAGCGGGTCCATCCTGAGGGCAGAACCTGACCTTCCTGGGGCCACCATCCCCACCCCCTGGGGGGCCCCGGACCCACATCAAATCTACTCTGGTTTAGACGCAAACACCCACTCCTGCTCTGAAGCGTTTCAGGAACCTCTCTCTCATGGGGAGACTTGTATCTAGTCTTCAGTCCAGAAAAACGTGCAGAGAGAAATTCTTGTCTCCAGGGAGTCTCCCCCTCCCC